TGACTCTGATGCGTGAGATGAATCACAAGGAGGAGGATGGCATGTCCTGGCACAGGCATGGATTCCACACTGCCTCGTCTTTCCACAGAGCTGATTACATCGAATGTCTTTGGAACCACAGGGAATGTTTCTCAACATAACATGGCCGCCGATGCATTCTTTCACCATAGGAATGGTGCAGGGAGGGCAATCACCAAAATGGCAGGAGTGAGAGGCTGGGTGGCCACAAGGCTGCGGCACCAAGCATAGATGCCGACATGAAGGTGTGGGCGTGCCGCAAGGGATTGGAGGTGGAATTGAAGTCTTTCCACAAGCACAACTTAAGTCGGTAAAGATGGTCTCAAGGCATGGTGGGCAGTGACCGCTATGACATAGCAACTGGCACGTATGGTTCCCACACCGCAGCCGCTTGCCACAAGGCACTGAACAAAAATGGGGATCCCAATCGCCACTGGAAAATTGGTCACTGCTAGTCTTCGACAGTGGACAGCAGCGCTCACTACAACGGTGTCGACCACAATTCTTCTTCCGGCCACAGGTTTTTTCACAGATAAAGGTGAAAGTTTCATCGAACAGCTTGTAACACTCCACAGTCTGGCGTGAAGAGCCACACCTGCATCTCTGTTCAACAAGGACAGAGCAAGGAGGGCAGTTTCCTTCATGGCAAGGAATCTTACAGAAATGGGTCTTGCAAACAAGAGGCTTTCCGCACACCTCGGAGCAAGTTGGGATTGGGTCCAGGCAGCTCTTTCGCTCCCCAGCAAGATTCATCTTGCCACAATGGCAGGTTTTTATCTTTGTCGGCAGCAATTCACAGTCACCGCAAGGTCCGGGGTGACAATTCTCTCTACACAAATGGTGCCCGCATGAGAGGCTTCTATCACATGGCAGATTACAAGAAAAGAGGCCATTTCTCCCATTAAACTCCCCTTTCACGGCCATATCTCCGCATAGAACTGATTCAGTTTTCTTGCCACAGAAGCAGCTTGCGATAATAAGCTCTTGGCATGAACCACATGATCCAGTATGACACGGCTGGTTGCAATGGTGGCGGCCACATGTTAATAATCGGTTGCATTGCTGTCCACAGCTTAACGGCGCACGTCGTTCCGAACAGCGACGGACGATCTCTGTTTTGCCGCAGGGGCATCGTTCACGAGGAGCGAATGCCTTGCAAGGTGGGCAAGGGCCAGGGTGACATTGGAGCACACAAACATGCGGGCACCGGAAATCCCCCTCTTCTCCATCGCCAACATCATTCACGCGGCCATCAGATGGCGGCAGGGGGGCTCTATCCAGCGGCTTACCACAGGGCTCTCCACAAGAGTGGGGGGTGAGATAAAGGTCATTGGGCGGATCGTGCCGCCGGCCACAGAAACAAGTGTACACGAGCTCGCTTGCCGGAACGGACTGAGGAGACTGGCAACCAGGGCAGCGCCAATCACCGGAGGATGCAGGTGTAAAATCTGCCGCGGAAGTCGGGGAGCGTGCCCACTTGCGGATGCAGTGGAGGTGGAAGATTGAGAAGCAGGCGGGACACGACCACATCGCGGCTGATCGCCGAACCATATCATAACAGATCATACACTCCACGGTGCCGCGGGAGAGCTTCTCCTGTATTTCGTGTACGAGCTGAGGAACGGAAGTGACATCCGAGTTCGCCGGCGACGGGGAAGCGTAGGACCGCCGTGAAGGACGGGTTTGAGGGCGATCGGGAGGATTTAGAGGAACGGAGCTACGGGGAACCCATTCTTGTCGGTTAGAGACGGCGGCGCGAGGGCGCGGACCGTTGCGGTTGGTGGAGGAGGAGCTCATAGAGGGGGAAGGAGATGGTGGGGATTTCGGATCGGAGAGCAAGGATTGCACCCCCCGTGGTGGCGATTTGTAAGCTGGGTTCAGTTTATGGACCTAACCCTAAAGTCTGACGAAAATGGCGAGGCTTATGTGGAAGACAGGGGATACTCCGTGGTTTTAAGGGGAGGAGATGGCTTGGAGAGGAGGCAATGCTTCTGGTCACCAGCCTTCGGATGGTTCGGCTTTAACCTATTTATTTATTTATTTTAATTCTTAATTTATTAGTCAAATTTGATCACAAAAATTATTGGATTTATATATTTATTAAACTTATCTAAAAATTAATTTAATAAAAGCAAATAAAATATATTTGAATTTGGGGTAATTATTTTTCTATTGGAATTAAAGAAAAAGTTATTTAAAATTTCAAAATTAAAAAAA